CCTAAATAGTCCTTAATATTAACCTATATTATTTTTTTTAATTTTGGAAACATTTTTAACATTAATTGTGATGTTTACTGGTTTTTGGGTACTTTGTATTATTTTTTGGCTGGCAGTTAAATATTCAGTGCTTGGAATCTATATATTAAACATGCCAAACATGCAAAGCACGGGGTTCAGTTCCCAGTAGTCTACAAATCTCAGATTTGGGAAGTGCCATCAGGTGGTCAGAAAGAACTTGAGGGTCACCGTCTACTACACAACCTGAGCTATCTGAGACTGTCTCACAGACAAAGAGGGAAAATTATCCCCCAAAATTGTTGGGTTGTTTTTGGATGCATTTATTTGATTTTACTTGTTTGTTCATTTTTTTTTATTATTGACAATTGATGTTGGGTGTCTGGAGAGATGACTCAGCCTTTAAGAGTCCTGGCTGTCCTTCAAGGGACCTGTGTTCAAGTCCCATCATCCACATGTAATTCCAGTTTCAGGAGATCTGAGCCCTCTTCTGGCCTCTGTTCGTACTACTTGCACACTGTGTAGTTAAATACATGGTGACAAAACACTCATAAACAAAATTAAAAACAAAAAACTAAAAAAGAGAAAAAATAGATTTTTCCATTACAGTATGTCCCAATTACAATTTCATCTCCTTCTACCCCTCCCAGTTCCTTTCAGGATCTCCTTGCATCCAGATCTACCCCCTTTTTGTCTCTCAGCAGAAAACAGATCACTAAGGGATTATAATATAATAGATATAATAAAACACAGAAATGTTGGAATAGACAAAACAATCAAACAGAAGGAAACAAGCACAATTAAAGGCATAAGAAAGAGCTAGAAAGTTATAGACACACTTGTTCACACACTCAGGAATCCAATAAAAACAAAACAGAACAACAACAAACAGGAGCTATGATACATATGCAGAGGACTGATAGGGTAAAAAAAAAATATTAGAAATTAGGAACCCAATAAAAGGCAAAAGAATCAGAGACCCACTCATGTGCTTACTTGGGAGTCCAATAAAAGTACTAAACTTAAAGCTAAAACATATACACAGAGGATCTGATACAGGCCCCGTGAATATTGCCTCATTTCTGTGAGTTCATATGTGCGTTGGTCCTGCTGTGTTTAGTAGTTCTTGTTGTTTTTGATGTCCTCCATCCCCTCTAGCTCTTTAACTCTTTCCATCTTCTCTCCTGTTGAGTTTTCTGAGTTCTGAGGGGAGGGATTTGATGGAGACGAGACATACCACTTAGGACTGAGTGTTTCAGGGTCTCTCACTCTCTGTTTATTGTCTGAATGTGGGTGTCTGTAATTTTTTCCCTTCTACTGCAGGAGGAAGCTTCTCTGAGGATGGCTGAGAAAGATACTGATCTGTGTATATAGCAGAAAGTCATTAGAATTCATTTTAACACTACATTCCTTAAGCAGAACAATAATATTTGATTTTACCATAGGTCTCTCAGCTATCTAGTTTCAGATTCTTAGTCCCCTAAAACATGGTCAGGCATGGGTTCTATCTCATGGATTGGGCCTTAACAAATCAGATATTGGTTGGTTACTCTGAGTTGCCCTAGCATATCTTGCAGGCAGGGCAGCATTATACATAAAAGGGTTTGTGGTTGGGTTGATGTTTACATTTCTCCTTTGTTAATCTGCAGAGTATCTGTTAGTACAAAGAACACTAGCCCTAGGGATGAAGGCTCTAGGTAGGCAGTAGCTCAACCTTTCCATGTTCAGTGAGTTGTATAGATGTTGTCTTCAGTAACAGGACCTTGCCTGTCAATTTGTGGAGTAACCTATAGCCATGGCAACAGCCTGGGTTGTTTGGAAGCTCCCATGGGGCCCATTTTGCCAATAACTTAATTAGATGTAACCCATTCCCCTGATAGTGGAAGCTTCATTTGATGATAAAAGATGTCCAGATGGTGCTCTGTCTCCTCTATTATTTGGCAACTTCATTTAGGTCAGTTAAACACATGTATATATGCTTAAAACATCCTGTGCCTTAAGGAGTTTCCCCAAAGATGGGTAGTTTTCTTGTGGAGGAAGTTACTATACAACACTTGTCTTACTACTCTATGATGCCTTACTTGTAATTTTTATCTTCAAATATATTCCAGATCAGATTCTACAGTTCTTAGGTTGTATGTTGGGATCCAGTAGCCTTTCAAATTGGTCTCTCTATTTATATTCTTAGTACCAGTTATGTTTTTCATATCAGTAGAAGAATTGCTTCTTTTTTATCATTTTCTCAATTTCAAAGTTGTTTCTCAGTATTTCAGTCTTCTAGGATGGTGTTTTACTCCAAGTTGATTCTTTTCTTTCCTCTAGTGCTGGGATGGAGCCCAAGTCTTTGAGCATGTTAGACAGAGGGTCCAAATCAGTGTCATGTTCAGCCCCCCTTTTTTTCTGTTTTGAGATAGGTACTCTTGAAGTTGCCTGGAACAATGTTGAAATTGCAATCTTCCTGTATGGATTAAATCTAGTTTTCCCCACATGTCAGTTTTTCTTCTTTAATAAAAGGAATTATATTGAGAATTGCCTGAGTACTTACAGTGTATTTTGATCAAATCACTCTCCATTCTCTACTTTCCATTCATCCAATGTCCCACCACTATTTTCCTTTCTAATTTCATGTGCTCTCATGTTTTGCTTTTGTTTTTTGAGTCCCTGGAGTCCTTTCACTGTTGTCTATATGTGCTTGAATAGGGGACCATCTGCTGGAGCATAGGTAGCCCTCTGGGGCTGTATTCCTGAAGATATAGGACACTTCCTACCCACACTAACCAGCAGTTTCCAATAGCTTCTCAGCTAGGGGTGGAACTTCATGACGTCTTCCTCTATCCATGATGGAATTGTGACTGGCTTGATCTTGTGCATGTTTTGTACTTGTCACAGCTGCTCTGAATTCACATGAGAAATGTCACTTTAATATTCAGCAAATAACATTTCACTGCAGGTATCCTCATTTAGAGCTGAATATCCTATAGTCTCTTACTCTGCACTTTGACCAATCAGGAGTCTCTGTGTTAATCTCTGTCTGTTGCAAATAGAATCTTCTCTACTGCAGGTTGAGAAATGCGCTAATTTATTAGTATCAGGGGGAGTTAGTACTATTTTCAATAACAGTTCTGGTGAATCAAACCTAGGGCCTCAACCATTCTAGGCAAGAATGTTCTATAATACTGAGCAGCATCCCACCCCTTTATTCTTTCTGGACTTTAGATTTTCTAAGGGTTATCATGTAGGAACATGTTGCCATCATCTGTTTGCACTCTGATGTTCATTTGTCCCCTTTACATAGTTTTGAGTTTCCAGGGCCTCCAATTTGAAAATAGAACTTTATTCAATTTATGAGTGCTTTTGTTGCCCTCTCATACCTACCATGAGTCAGGTTAAATCTTTAGATTTGTTCTGATGCTACCAGTGAATTTAAAACACTTATCTGAGCCTCTGAGCCAGAGTTCAAATCTCTTCATTACTTTTTGGTGATTTTTGTTTTGTCTGTTACAGACCTTTTATATTTAACATGTTATGATAAATCTTTCTGCCAAAAGCTGCCTGAGCCCTACCGCCATGTGTGTGCTTTATGCCAGCCGCCCGCCCCACTTAGGCCCAAATGAATACACAGAAACTTGTATTAGGTTCAAAGCTGCTTGGCCAATGACTAGGATTCCTCATCTGCTAGCTCAGTCTTAACTATCATACATCTATATATTTTATAAGACTTATCTTATCGGACGCCTTATTGGTGTCCCTCCTTGCTAGTGGATCACATGGTGCCGCTGGAGCAGGAGCAGAGGGGAAAAAGGGAGCCCTTCCTGTTTCTCCTTCGCTTAAATATGAGTCTTCTTGCTATGTCACTTCCTGCCTGGATCAGCACTTCTCTACTACATTTCCCAGAATCCTCTTTGACTCCTAGTTCCGTCTAACTAGCTATCTCATTGGCCAAACAGTATTTTATTTAACAATCAATAAGATAAACATACACAGTACATTCCCCATCATTAACACTTACATATTAATACATTTTGTCTTAACTACCTCTCTGGTTACTCATCTACCTACATCTGAAGAGAGAAAACAGAGTATAGAGATAATCATTTGTTAGGTTCTTGTCAAAGACTCTCTCACATGAAAGAACCAGCCTCTTCTTTCTCTCCTACTTTTTCCTTCTTGATTTCTTCTTTCCTTTTATTTCTCATTGTATGTATGCATGTGTTATTCTTTTTGTTTGAATAAAGCCTGATAATCAGTTATGGAAACAATGAATAAATGGTGTTAATATAGTAAATATACTCCATTTATGCATAATTATTTCTTCACAATACTAGTTAAGATTTAGTTTCTGTATTTAAAATCCATATACGTTTGAAAATAGTTTCAAAATGAAAGATTTAGACAATTAATAGGAGGAAAAGGTGAGTTTTGGAGAATGTTAGTTGATAGATTCAATATGGTTAGGAGAAAAGAGCATAATCTATGTCTTATATAATTGGAAATTTGTTTTCTTTGCAGTTCTAGCTAATTTATGTTTGCACATTTAAAATAGGGACCAAATAAGGATCTAAATACTATTTATTCTTCATATTTAAATAATTCAGTTGCTTTTTAATTAATTGTATGATTTATTTAACTTTAATAATAAACTGTGTAGTTTTTACAGTTTAAGTTCTTGATTTTTATAACCTGAAGTTTTTTAAGTTCCTGAAAAAATTCTATAACTATTATAAGTTACTTACTTTTGTGAACATTCTTCAACAATTCTTCAAAATTGGCCTTTCCCTTGATCTACAAAATATTTTTTTATTTTGAAAATGTTTTAAAGGTTGATATTTAAATATGTTAAAATTTGATTATTATGAAAAAACCTAAATATAGTTTTGCTAAGAACATTACTAGCTTTCACCTATATATTATAAAATACCTTTAATATACTTCTCTTTATGCATCATGTTTATTATATTGTAATACAAGTGCTCTAATTTTAGGCTTTTGAAGACAATTTAATGGAAGCAAAGAAAGAAATTGAATTATCACAGAGTAAATACAATGATCTGTCACTACAGTTGGATAACAAACAGACTGAACTTCTCCAAAAAGATATGGATATTACACTGGTCAGGCAAGTATATTCAGTCTTCAATTTTGTCAGAATATCATTAGTCATTCAGTATGATAGCATTTATGTTCATTGTCAATACTTCTAAATGATAACCATAGGTTATCTTCCATAGGTACATATGTTTGTGCAACAAAAATCTAGAATTCTGCACTCTTAACTGGCACTACTTACCTAGGACTACACATGACTAACAGGTTATGGCTGGGTACATAATAAGAACAGTGCATTCACTCTTTGTTTCCTATAGTTTTTCCTATAGCTTTTCTCTGAATATGCACAGTGAATTTTTCTTAATTTTAAATACTTAATTATTTATTCTATTTAGGTCTTTTTAAAAATGTCTGACAGAAACAACTAAGGGAAAGGAAGATTTATTTTTATACACAGAGGGGAAAGCACTGTGGCATTCATGATGACATTTAAGAATAAGCAGTTCTTGTTATGTTGGCTACAGCATGAGGTAGCTTGCTCACATCTCCATTGCTGACTAGGAAGCGAGAATACCAGATGGGATCTGGTGCTGGGGTATAGCCCACAAACCCCCTAGCCCCAGGACTTCATGTGTGTCAGCTAGGCCCATGTCTAGGAGGTCCTATAACCTCAGAAAATAGTGCTTCCAGCTAGCAAACAACTGTTCAAGTACATGAGTTTGTGAGGGACATTTCACATTCAGAGTAAAACACAAACCCACCTATTTCAAATAAGTCCTGTTTTTTTCCTTTCTTTGTTTTCATATAAGTATATTTATATATACTTATATATGCTTATATGTAAACTTATATTTATACATACTTATATATGCTTATACTTTGTTTTCATATAAGATGGGTCAAGACAGATTCTTTCCTTCCCAGTGGCTTATAGGTATTTTTCTTAATTATTTTTGTGTAGCTTTAGAGCCTGTCCTAGCACTTGTTCTGTTGAAGAGGCTGGCCTCTAACTCACAAAAATCTGCCTACCTTTGCCTCCCAAGTGCTGAAATGAAAGGTGTGTGGCACCACTGCCTGGAATTATTTTTAAGTTTTTCATTTAGTGTATGTGTGTGAGGAGAGAGAGGTGGGGGAGGGAGGGAGAGATATTGTGTGTTTGCATGCAGTGTGTGTGTGTGTGTGTGTGTGAGAGAGAGAGAGAGAGAGAGAGAGAGAGAGAGAGAGAGAGAGAGAGAGAGAGAGAGAAAAGAGAGAAGAGAGAGAGAATTCCCCTAGGTCATTTTATGCTTATAAACAGTATGGTTGTAAAGGAGTGTATGAGGTAGTACAAAAGTGCACTCTTCTTCACATTGACATTCTCAAGTGTCTCATAGTAATGTGAAGGTCTCCCTTCTCTAGATTGTGTTTGTTTTGACTGAAGATACATATATTTTCAACTTTAAATAATTTTGTATATATCAATCTTGCTCTCATATTAAGAGATAGATGATATATTTGAATATTGGAAGAGAAATAAGTTTTTGTTATTTCACCTTGTACCTGTTACTGTTTAACTTCATCATGACCTTTCTATAGATAGATGCAGCATTTATTTACATAGGTCTCTTAGGCAACAGAGTTGACATACTATTATTTCCTTTGTTAAAATTTCTGATTTGGCAATAGAAAACAGAACAGTCAGAATGGACTTCTACTGTGTGTCTTTATTATATTTTCTTATTCTCCTCTCCCCTATGTTTGAACTGTTATCCATGTCTACTTTTGGTAGTCATAGGAGATAGATTATACACATGTGTTTATCTGTGTGGGTGCAGGTTTTACAAATCTGATTGAAAACATTCTTATCTTAGATGTCTAAAGAGCAAAGCTTATTTCCCCTGTACTTATTTTCATTAGTCAACAAAACATTTACATATTTATTTATTTCAAAATAATTTCATATATATAAATCACCAGTTTGAAGCTATAGATAGGGGAAAATTCCACTTAAAATGCAGTCTAAAAATATATAAAATATAATGTATTTTGTCTATATAAGCCAGGTGTTTTAACAAACTAAGTGATGGACCCTGAAATATATGTCTCTATAAATACTCTTTCTGTCCAAATAGAATATCCAAATTATTTTTTAATTTTTATTTTTAGAACTATCTAATTTTGTGTACCAATCCCAGTTCCTTCTCTCCCCCGCTTCCTGTCCTCCCACTAGCCCCACCATCTCCCCATCCCCTCCTCAGAGAGGGTGAGGCCTTCCATGGGGGATCATCAAAGTCTGTCAACATTATTTGGGGTATGACTGAGGACCTCCCCTCTGGATTTAGGCTGAGCAAAGTATCCGTCCATATGGAATTGGCTCCAGAAAGCCAGTTCATGGACTAGGGATAAATCCTTGTTGCACTGCCAGTGGCCCCATAGAGTACCCAAGATCCCCAACTGACATCCACATTCAGGGGGCCTAGTTTGGTCTTATGCAGGATCACTAGTCGTCAGTCTGGAGTCCTTGAGCTCTCACTTGCTCAGGTCAGCTGTTTCTGAGGCTTTCCACAACATGGTCTTGACCCCTTTACTCATCAATTCTCCCTCTCTACAACTGGATTCCAGGAGTTCAGCTAAGTGCTTAGCTGTGAGTCTATTACCAACCCTTTACTCTGAGGTAATGTCTGTTTTTGAAGTTGAGGTGTGCTTCTTGTATGCAGCAGGAGGATGGATTCTGTCTTGGAATCCATTGTGTTAGCTTGTGTCTTTTAATAGGCAGATTGAGACTACTGATATTGAGATGTATTAGTGACCAGTGATTGTTAATTCCTGTTACTTTGGATTTGTTATTATTGGTGGTATTGTGTGTGTGTGTGTTTCCCTTTTGGGGGTTGGTTTTGGTAATGTGGGATTAGCTATTGCCTATGTTTTTGTGGGCATAGCTAACTTCCTGGGGTTGGAATTTTCCTTCCAGTACTTTCTGTAGGGCTTGTATATATGTATTATTTAAATCTAGTTTTGTCATGGAATTCCTTGTTTTCTCCCTCTGTAGTGATCGAGAGCTTTGCTGGGTATAGTAGTCTGGGCTGGTACCTATGGTCTCTTAATATCTTTAGAACATCTACCCAAGACCTTCTGGCTTTCAGAATTTCTATTGAGAAGTCAGGTATAATTCTGATAGGTCTTCCTTTATATGTTCCTTAGCCTTGCAGCTCTTAATATTCTTTCCTTATTTCTTTCTTTATTCTGTATGTTTGGTTTTTTGACTATTATGTGGTGAGGTGACTTTTTTTTTGTTCCAATCTAATTGGTGTTTTGTAAGCTTCTTGTACTTTTATAGGCATGTCCTTCCTTAAGTTGGGAAAGTTTTCTTCTATGATTTTGTTGAATATGTTTTCTGTGCCTTTGAGCTGGACCTCTTCACCTTCTTTTACCTCTATTATTCTTAGGTTTGGTCTTTTAACAGTGTCCCAGATTTCCTGGATATTTTGGATAAAAAAAATTGTTGGATGTGACATTTTCTTCGGTCAATTAGCCTATTTCCTCTACTGTACTTCAAATCCGAGATTCTCTCTTCCATCTCTTGTATTCTGTTGGTTATGCTTGCATCTGTAGTTCCTGAGCATTCACCTAGATTTTCCATTTCCATTATTACCTCAGTTTGTATTTTACTTATTGCCTCTATTTCAGTTTTCTAGTCTTGAACTGTCTGAACTGTTTCCTTCACCTCTTTGATTGTTTTCTTTTGGCTTTCCTTGCTTTCTTTAAGGGATTTGTTGATTTCTTCCATTTTTTGTTTGTCTTTTCCTCCATTTCTTTATGACAGTTTCTCATTCCCTCTTTAAGGGCCTCTATCATCTTCATAAAGTTATTTTTAAGTTTGTTTTCTTCTGTTTAGTCTGCATTGGGATGTTCAGGTCTTGCTGGTGTACAACCCCTATTCTGGTGGTGTCATATTGCTCTTTATGTTGTTGAATGTGTTCTTATACTGTCATCTACCCTGTCTTCCTTCAATTGGTGCAGGTGGAGCCTGTGATTCAGGGGGGTCTCTCTTCTTCTACTTGGTGTAGGTGGGGCTTATGGCTTAGGTGGTTGCTCTTCCTATAGGTGGGGACTGGTCCCTGCTTCTTCTGGGTGCTAATACAGCTCTGAAATTCTTCCAAGTATAGGCAAGGCCAAGGCTCCAATGGTGGCAGATGTCATGCAGGAAGGTATGGGGTATGGGGAGGTTGCCCCCATGTCTCTGGTGCTTTGGTAGGCAGGGATGGGGAGTGTGACATGCCCAGGGCAATGACAATGAGGGCCTAGAAGTTAGTGTCCTCCAGCTGGGGACCCAGTCACTGACTTCCCCCTGTATGGGCACAGCCATGACCTAATTTACATTTTTATATAGTTTGTGTCACACAAGGTTTCCTACTACAGGAAGTCTGTACCTCAGAGGTAGTGTTCTCCTGGATCCTTAGTGTGGAGAGGTGTGATGCACCGCGCCTTAAAGATGGCGCTGGTTTCTGCCTTCTACCATCCCAAGGGTGAGCGCTCTCTGGAATAAACAACTCCTTATTTGGTTTGGTCTGAGATTCAAACTTACATCAGCAAATGCGAGCCTATCCTGGGGTTGGCTGGCAAGAATGCTTTTAAGCTGTGGGCGGGCTTTCCCCGGGGTCAGAAGATTGTTCAAGGTTCCTGAGTAAACTGCTTAAGGAAGAGTCTCAGCGTTGCGTCTTCCTTGCTGGTCGAGGCGGTCGCGACACCTTAGTGTCATAATTCCCTTACAAGTTCATTTGTCCTCCCACAGTACAAGTGTTCACTTGGGTGTTTACAAGGACTGGATTCCCTTATGTGTTTTCCTTCCTTCTGACTTTGTTGCCTCACTATCTTACACACCATCTCCAGAGTCCATGATGGTTTGGAAACCTAATTAGCTTTTTTCCCCCCTGTGCTTTTTTTCACATACTTAAAATTCTTAATTATGTAAAATGAAAGACTAACTTACTCTATATTTAAAACTATCTGATAGCTATAGTTAGGGCCATTGCTTATCAGTTCTTGGAACTGAAATTTTAACTTAATTTCAATAAGAAGGTGGTTATATGACAATATATCCAGAATTTTTATTTCTATCAAGCTATAAAAGAAAATTGATAAGAATTTGCCTTTGAAAGCCATAGTAGTAATGTCAATACTCTCCTCGTGTATGTGATAAATATTAAATACTTTATATATTATTTCATTTATTAATAAGTTTGCCTGCAATAAAACATAATAGATGAAAAACAGGAAGCCAATCTATACTCTTAGATGAACACAATTATTTTCCTGGGGTGATCTTTATTCATGCTTCTCTCTATTTATTGCTTGTTTTGCACAGGAAGGAACTGCAGGAGTTGCAGAATCTGTACAAGCAGAACAGCGCACATACAGCAGAGCAAGCAGAGCTAATCCAGCACCTCCAGGTCCTCAATATGGATACACAAAAAGTACTAAAGAATCAGGAAGATGTTCACACTGCTGAAAGTGTATCATACCAAAAAGTATGCTGAACTTATGAAAACAGATTTCAAGTTTTTAGAAATTTTGTATTATTCCCTTTTCACATGGTTTAACTTGGTAATATTTAAATTTTTGTGAGTCTTCTGTGGTAAGAGTGAAAAGTTGACCTCCCTATCCCATCATGTCTTCTTCACCTCTCCTCTTCTCCCTGTCTCATTCTCCTAGTTCCCTCTTCCCTCCCCCAATGCTCCCAGTTTGCTCAGGACATCTTGTCCCTTTCCCCTTCTCCAGGGGACCATGCATGTCTCTCTTAGGGTCCTGCTTGTTTCCCAGCCTCTCTGGAAGCCTGGGCTGCAGGCTGGCAATCCTTTACTCTATGTCTAAAATCCCCATATTTTGTGAGTGGGTTACCTTGCTCAAAATAGTTTCTTCTAGTTCCATCCATTTGCCTGCAAATTTCAAGATTCCTTTGTTTTTTTTTTCCACTGAGTAGTACTCCATTGTATAAATGTACCACATTTTTTCTATCCATTCTTCAGTTGAGGGGCATCTAGGTTGTTTCCAGGTTCTGGCTATTACAAATAATGCTGCTATGAACATAGTTGAACAGATATCCTTGTTATATGAATGCACTTCTTTTGGGTATATGCCTAAGAGTGGAATTGCTGGATCTTGTGGTAGACTGATTCCCAGATAAGAGATAATATAATAGAGGGAGACATTGTAAGTTCAAAGAGAAATCAGGCACTAGGGAAATGTCTGGAGAGCTACAAAGATGACACCAACTAACAATCAAAGCAACAGAGGAGAGGCTACCTTAAATGCCCTCTCCTGATTATGAGATTGATGACTAATTCATATACCATTGTATAGCCTTCATCCAGCAGCTGGTGGAAGTAGAAGCAGACACCCCCAGCTAAACCTTGAACTGACCTGAAATCCAGATGCAGAGAAGGAGGACTGATGAGCAAAGGGGTCAAGACCAGGCTGGTGAAACCCACAGAAACAGCTGACCTAAATAAGGGAAAACTTTTGGTCCCCAGACTGATAGCTGGGAAACCAGCATGGGACTGATCCAGACCCCTTGAATGTGGGTGTCAGTGAGGAGACCTTAGAAACCTATGGGGCCCCTTGTAGTGGATCAGTACTTATCACTACCATAGGACTGGACTTTAGAGCCCATCCCACATGGAGGGATACTCCCTGAGCCTAGACACAAGGGTGTTGGCTAGGCCCTATCCCAAAGAATATGAGAGAATTTGAAGACAACTTATGGAAGACATCACCCTCCCTGGGGAGCAAAAAGGGTATGTGATGGGTAGGACATTAGTTGTGGGGAAGGAGAGGAGGGGAGGGAAAGGGAACATGGATTGACATGTAAAATAATTTTCTTTCTAATAAAAAAGTGAAAAAAGAGTGAAAAGTTGAAAGTACAGATATAAAACAACTAATAAATTGGAACTTTTATCTCTTCTGTGAAACATATTAGGTACAGTAGTACTTCTGTTATAAAAAATATTTGGATCAGTAATGATCCTGACTTCATATAAAATCTTCATGGCTTTATTGGCAAATGTGCACAGACACAGAGGGGAATGCTGATGAGGTCTTCTTAGGCTTATTCATTTTCAAGGATTTTTCTCTTTGTTTCTTTTTAGTAGTCATTTTACTGTAATTGTTTCAAGAGCACATAGCAAGGCTTCCTTGGCTCTTTAGCTAAGCTAATTGACTCAGCATCACTAATTCTGCTATTAATATAAAGCACCTGTATTGAGCTCTTTATATATTTTACAATGTACTTCACAACGTATTAAGTTGTTTATATAAAAAACATCATGAGAGTAATATTCCTCTTTAATAGCTGAGAGTGTATAAGGTTGAAGGTGGTTAAAGATGGCTTTATTTTTTTGTACTTCACATTTCTGGGGTCAGCAGGTGGTAGCTAGAGTCTGTGGATGTCCTTTATCTAGTGCAGTACCTGGTACTGTGTGCAGGTTGGCTGAGCGATGGTTCCAAGTATGTTGTGAGATTCAGACCTGTGTTTATTGAGAGGCTGTGTCTGTTTGCTTGGATTTATGCTGGTTCAGAAGCTTTTTCTGTGCCTCACAGCTTGCCTGTTACTCTAGAGGACCTTGAGTTTGCATCCCTGGTGATAGCAAATGTCCAGGTTCAGCAATGCTCCCTGAATGCATTAGGGAGTATGTTTTAGCAAATAGAAACTGAGTTGTGCATTAGAGGAGGAGAATGTGAGGAATCGGGCATTCTTCTTGCTTCTTTCATCACTACCAGACCCTGTCCTCAAAAACTTACCCAGGGAGGGAAGAAGCTGGAAAAATTTAGAGCTCTGCCAGACCCGGGCTCAGAATTCTAAGACCTTCTTGGAAGCAACCCAAGCAAGGCAGGGATATAGCTTCAGAGACTTACAGTTGTGAGCTTTCATAGTAATTCACAGTCAAGGGGACATGTTTCTTGTCACAGAAGTTGGGACCTAGCATCAGACTGGGTTGTTTAGGGTTCTCCACAGGACCTCTTTCACCAATAACTCAGCCAAATTCAGCATAGTCCTACTACGGGAAGCCTTGCCTGGCTATAAAATATAGCCAGTTCAGACTCTGTATCTTCTGGGAGTCCTCACTAGGGTCACCCTCATAGATTATAGGAAGTTTCCACTGCACTAGGTTTCCATACTGGCCCCCAATCACCTCCCAATTCTAATTCCCTCTCTCTCTGAACTCTCTCCCTTCATCTTTTCCCCCTCCATCTGATCCTTCCTGTGTCCCCCCCCCCCCAGTCCATCTACAAAGTCTATTCTGTTTCCCTTTCCCAGGGAGATCCATTTTCCCTCCACCCCTGCCCTAGAATCCTCCTCTTTGCCTAACATTTCTGGTATTGTAGCTTGATTGTCATTTACTAAACATATATTCACTTATAAGTAAATATGCACTTGCACAAGTAAATATGTCTTTCTGGATCTGGGTTATCTCACTCAGTATGATTTTTTCCAGTTCTGTCAATTTGCTTTCAAATTTTATGATGTCATTTTTTAAAACTTTTTATTGATTCTTTGTGGATTTCACTTCATGCACCCTAATCCCACTCATCTCCACATACCTTCACACCCACCCTCTCTGCCTTTGGACACCCCCCCAAAAATAAAATAAAATTTAAAATAACAACAAATTAAAAAACAAAATAAAAAGCAAAAACATTCTCATCCTGGAAGCTGTTGTGTGTCACAGTGAGTAACTCAGCATACCCTTTAGTCCTTAATGATGTAATTTTCAACCACTGATTAATACTCCAGTGTGTAAATGTACTACATTTTCTTTATAACATCTAGTTATTAATTCCAGTTACTGTCGTATGCAACTGGGTACTGTTCCTGCTAGAAAGTGAGCAAGGCTAGCCATGGTCAATCAGAGCAGGAAAGCAGAAAATGTGTATGTCGAATAAGATACAAGGAATGAATTTGTTCCAGTTCCTAGAAGCAGGCTAGTCTAGGTCTTCTCTTCCAGTATTTTTATTTTTTTAATTTTTTCAATTCTTGATGCTTTGAAGTACAAGTATTTGCCACAAGACAGTTTGTTCCAGTGTTTGGAATTACCTACCCAGTCAGACCTGCTACAACTAAGGAAACTTCTCAACAGGAGTACAACTGAGCAACTACAACAAGAACAACAGAAGAATACTGTTTTTCTCTTCCTCTTTATTTTGCATCATACTTTAATTTCAGAGCAAAATAAAACAATCAAAATACAATACACAATACCCAACCCTGCTATTCTGTGGGAAGGGATTTTCCTGCCTTAAGGCATAATAAAGACAGGATAGAAGAGAGGCTCTAGACATGAGCAGAGAGTCCCATAGTTTAGGGCCTGTCATGGCTGCTGGGGGAGCCACAGGGAAACTATCTGGAGCTCATGGACTTCCCAGGGGTTTCTATTCTATTTTTTTCCATGCAAGAAGCTTCCTCATAACCCTCAAGTAGGGGAATCTCATTAGGAATGGCAGCACTGGGCTTTTCTGCTGTCGCCTTGTCATCATCAATGGCCTGGCCTAGTTTGATCATATGTGGATGCAGTTGGAGTGGGTTTGGGGATCACCAAGTGAGAAAATAGAGGAGAGCACAGCAGTTTCAAATAGCAGAAGCACCAGGCTCTTGAGAGCTTTGTCATTTTTGTCTGCCTCAGTCTTCTAGCACAGGGTCTCCACAATGGGAATTAAGAGTAATGCTCTGAATTCCAACTGACCTACACAGAAATTCTTGATTGCCAAGTGGTCCTCCCAATCACTGGTGAGGCTCTTATAGAATTCATCATATTCCTCTGGAGTGATGTCATAAGAGTTTCTGGTCCAAATGGGCTTAGTTTTATTCAATTATTCCTGATCAATGTATTTTTCTTTAATTTATTTTTCTTATCTTTGCGACTGTCATCCTCCTTGTCTGATCCTACATCTTCAATCTTTGGCTTCTTGTCATCCTTATCTTTCTTCTCTTTCTCACCCTTCTTATTCTCTGCCTCATTATCCCCAACATCTTCCCCTCATTCCTTCTCCAAATAGAGTCTGATGGGATAGCCTATGAACTGTGGATGTTTCTACACCACTTCTTTGATCCTCCTCTCCTCTAACTATTCTGTCTAGTATTCTTTGAAATGAAGGATAACTTTGGTACCCAGGCCAATGGGTTCACCACAATCTGCACAAACTGTGAAGGGTCCTCCAGAGATGACTTTGAGGCATATTGCTCATCTTCATTGTGCTTTGAAATCACAACCACTTTCTTGTCACTGAATAGGCCAAATGGAATCCAACAGCAGACTGTCCAATCATGTGCACCAGCCTGGAGATCCTCCAGGCCAGACTTAGCAATGGTTCCCAAGTCATTTATGAGGTCAATCATGGTCACTTCAGTGCTTGTGTCTGCAAAGTCAGGGTGTATTCCTGAAGGTTGGAGATGATGTCAGTTTTCAGCTCTTTATCCCTGTCCAACTTCGAAGGGTCTGTTGGACACTCATAGCAAATTTTGTCCAAGGCATCAGAAGCCTTAGAGATCAGCTGACAAAGGAAATTTCCCTTGTCTGAATAGAAAGTATTGATGATAAGGGACATGAGCCTGAAAGGCAAAGGTCGCCACCTCTCCCTCTCCTTGGTGTACTTCCTCGGGCATCTTGACAGGAAAGCCAAGTAGTAGTACAGAACAGGGTGGGCTGGGCTGCACTGTGCCCAATTCACACTCCAAGTCTAGGCTGCACTGGGTGACTCAAGAGCCAGCAGAGTTCTGTTGCTCTTCTGTTTGATGAAGCAAGAATATGAGGCCAGAAGAGACAAAAGATCTTAAAACATTTTCCCCTGGGTAAATAGACCCAGAGCCTTGTGTGTATGAAGGAGAAGCCCCAGAGGTGGTTCCTGAGAGTAAGGCTTAATACCTTAACCCTTCAGCTTGGCTCTAGTCTCTAGAGTCAGCTTTTTCCCAGTCATGAAAGCATCAGTAGGTGGGTGATTATTGTCCCCACACTGACCTCTTAATGGTCCCTGAAAACTGTCATTATTACTACTTTTTCTTCCTAAGAGCATCCAATTATATTAGTTGTGAAAAGGACCCTGGCATATACCCCTCTATAAGTAAATGACAATGGAAAGGAAAAAATTGTACTTTGAAATTATTTATGAATTCTATATGTAACACTTATTTTGTATAAGTTGATTAACTTTTGCTGTAAAGTGATATGAATTATTTCAATGTTTATAATAATAGATATCATTTATAGACCCCAAATGTTTTGATTAGTTATAGTTTAGAAGTTTTCAGATTTCTTATTTTTTATGAGAAAAATGTATGTTTTATGAAACTTTTTAAGAAAAGAGGATGCACATACTTTTTTTGAAATATTAAGCTTTAGAGAGATGGCTCAGAGGTTAAGAGCACTGGCTGCTCTTCCAGAGGTTCTGAGTTCAATTCCCAGCAACCACGTGGTGACTCACAACCATCTATAATGAGATCTGGTGCTGTCTTCTGATTTGCAGGCTTGCATGCAGACAGAACACTGTATACATAATAAATAAGTAAGTAAGTAAATAAATAAAATATCTCAAAAGAAAATAAATCATATCATATATGCAAAAATGTTTAGCAATATCTACTATATAGATGAATTGAAACTTACATTCTTGTGAATTTTTGTGTATGTCAATAAGTGAAGATACTCCATATCTTCAATTGGATGAGCAAATTTAAAATCCTATACTATTAGTTATGTAATGTGATTTTTCCACCTGGAAGTTTTTGCTTTTGTCATATTATAATTTCTCTGGTAACTGTTTTTCTTAAAAAGAACCTTGACTTTTGGATCACTTTCATAGCATTTACACTATATATATATATATATATATATATATATATATATATATATATTTATGTATTTGGAGTTCATATGTAGATCTGTCACCACAGTTGGGCTACAACATATTAAATAACAAGCTTAGTTTAGAAGTCTCTTTTGGAAGCAAATTCTTGAGCATTGGAGGGACACTGCTGTTAACCAGGCATTCCTGTGTGAGATGCTAATTAGGCAGCACATACTGGCTCACGGTTTTAATATACTATAACTTGAGTTTTAATGCATGTGTCTTCACGTAAACAATTGGAAGTTACCTACCAGTGCCTTTAGAACATTGATTGTGCATTATTGTACAATTATAGTTCTCTGCTCTCTCCCTGCTGTTTATGGAAGTGCTCCACTGCCCTGACAACTATGTCTACTGTGCATCTACAACCTGATTGCCTTGCTTTGCCTCTTAGCTTTCCCTCTACTTTTCTTCAGAAATGTACACTAATTTATACTAAATGAAAATGTATCAACTAATCTTAAAGCATTCCCAGTGAAATATACAGTTTACTTCTGTGTCCTTTCCTAAAAAAATTAATACTTTCCCACATTTCTGTGATCTTTAGAGTAATTCTTTTTAAAAATTGGTCCATTCTAATAGAATCTTCACTGCTTATTCAAGACTGTTTTCTAATGTGAAGCCCTGCAAGTGAGTATAACTAGCTTAGAATCCTTTCCCTTCTTTTACTTAATACTCTCCTTGTCTGTTGCCCTGGCTGGTAATACATTTTACCTTTTGAATGCCAGATGTAATTTTATATTGATACTAAACTCTGTCACTTCCACATTGTTGCTGCTTGTTGGCTATTAACATAAATTAAGGGCAAGTGTTTGTCCATATATAGTTCACATATGTATGTACATAATTACTTTATTGATGTTATCATTTTGGATTTTTTAAACAGCTTTATAATGAATTACATATTTGTTTTGAAACTACAAAATCAAATGAAGCTATGTTCCGGCAAAGAGTTGTTAATCTTCAGGACCAACTGTTTCAAAAAGAACAAGAAAATATAAAATTAAAAGAAAAACTTGAGGAATCACAAGGAGAACCCTGTCTGTCACCTCTGGAAAGTGATTCAAATCACTCAGGAAAGGTAAGAAATTTTCTAAAATGTTACCCTTGTACCACCAGAGTACGATTTCCTACAGTTGAGTGAGAATTTAAATATATTTGCATATTTTGATTGTAAAATCACATTTTTGCATTTTAATGAATGTTATATATGGTACATATTAAAAGGGAAATGTATGTAGAAATACAGAATATATCAAGTATAGGGGTGTGTGTGTCTCTCTGTGTGTATGTGTTTGATGTATTTATGTATGTTAGGTGTCCTCCTCTGTCACTCGCCACCTTACTTTTAGAGGAAGGTTTTCAATGAATACTGTGTTCACCATTTGGGCTAGACTGGATCAGCCCTCTGTGATATGCCAGTCTCTGCCATCCCAGCAATGTGTTTGCAGTTATATGCTGTGATGATTGTTTTATTTGGGTTATAGGGATCTGCCATCAGATTCTCATGCTTCTGTGGCAAGCATTTTACTCACTGTGACTGTTAGTGTTAATTGCCATCTTGACAAGGCTGTAGGCATTCTCATGGGGGATTTATTTTTTTTATTAGTATTTTTTTTTTACTTTAGAGGCACTCATATTTACATATCCATCCCCCCATTCCCTGGCCCTCACATCCTCCCATATGTCCCCCAACCCCCCCACCTCTTCCCCAGGGAGAGTGAGGTCCTCCACAGGGGAACTTAAAGTCTATCATATCATTTGGGGGAGGGCCTAGGCCCTCCTTGCTATATCTGGGTTGCAATAGTAACCCTCCATAGGAGATGGGCTCTCAAAGTCCATTTGTGCTGTAGGGATAAACACTTGCTCCACTGTTAGAGGTCCCATAGACTAGACTGTCTTGGCCTCCTAGCTGGCAGCCACATTCAGAGGGCCTGGTTCTGTCCAATGCTGTTTTTCCTAGCTTTAAGACTAGGGTCTCCATGCTCTTACTAGGTCATGCCAACTGTTTCTGCAGGTTTCTCCAGCACCGTCTTTGCTCCTTTCCTCCTCCCTCCTCCCTCTCCACAACTCGATTCCAGGAGTATTGTTCAGTGCTTAGCTGTGGGTACCTGTTTCTGCTTTTGAACAGCTACTGGATGAAGGCTCTAGGAATGGTAACCAAGGTAGACACCAATCTCATTATAGGGGAAGGACATCAAAGGCAGCCTGTCCACCATTACCTAAATTCTTAGTTGGGGTCATCCTTGTGAATCTCTTAACATTTCCCCTGTGCCAGACCTCTCTAAACCTGTACTGTCTCCCTCTATCAAGGCATCTCCTTTCTTGCCCTCCTCTATTCCACCCCTGTCTCAGTCCCCTTGTTCTCCTCCCCCATCCCCTTTTCTCCTTCCCACCTCCTTCTTCTCCCCCCCACCATGCTCCCACTTTGCTCAGGGGTTCATGTCCCCCTCCCCTTCTTTGAGGGACTATGCAATCTTCTCTTGGGGTCCACCTTGTTTCCTAGCTCCTCTGGCAGTGTGGGTTGCAGACTGGTAATCCTTTGCTCTATGTCTAAAAATCACATATGAGTGAGTACATACCATGTTTGTCTTTTTGTGACTTGGTTACCTCACTCAGGATGGTTTCTTCTAGTTACATCCATTTGCCTGCGAATTTCAAGATTCCATTGTTTTTACCGCTGAGTAGTACTCCATTGTGTAAATGTACCACATTTTCTCTATCCATTCTTCAGTTGAGGGGCATCTAGGCTACTTCCAGGTTTTGGCTGTTACAAATAATGCTGCTATGAACGTAGTTGAACATATGTCCTTATTGTATGAATGTGCATTCTTTAGGTATATGCCCAAGAGAGGAATTGCTAGATATTGAGGTAGACTTATTGTCATTTTCCTGAGAAACCACCATAAGGACTTCCAAAGTGGTTGTACAAGTTTGCACTCTCACCAGCAATGGAGAAGTGTTCCTCTTTCTCCACATCCTCTCCAGCGTAGACTGTCATTGGTGTTTTTGATTTTAGCCATTCTGACAGGAGTAAGATGGTGTCTCAGAGTTGTTTTGATTTGCATTTCCCTGATGGCTAAGGCTGTTGAATACTTTCTCATGTGTCTTGCAGCCATTTTAGATTCCTCTGTTGAGAATTGGCTATTTAGTTCTGTACCCCACTTTTTAATTGGATTGTTTGGTGTTTTAGAGGCTGGCTTTCTGAGTTCTTTGTATATTTTGGAGATCAGCACTCTGTCAGATGTGCGGTTGGTGAATATCTTTTCCCCGTCTGTGGGCTGCCGTTTTGTCTTGCTGATTGTGTCCTTTGCCTTACAGAAGCTTCTCAGTTTCAGGAGGTCCCATTTATTAATTGTGGATCTTAGTGTCTGTACTACTGGTGTTATGTTCAACAAGTGGTCTCCTGTACAAATTTGTTCAAGTGTACTTCCCACTTTCTCTTCTAAGAAGTTCAATGTGGTTGGATTTATGTTTAGGTCTTTGATCCATTTGGACTTAAGTTTTGTGCATGATGACAGATATGGATCTATCTGCAGTCTTCTACATGCCAGCATCCTGTTATGACAGCACCATTTGTTGAAGATGCTTTCTTTTTTCCATTGTATAACTTTAGCTTCTTTGTCATAACAGGTGATCATAGGTGTGTGGGTTAATATCAGTGTTTTCAATTCAATTCCATTGGTCTATGTGTCTATTTTTGTGCCAATATCAAGCTGTTTTCAGAACTATGGCTCTATAATAGAGCTTGAAGTCAGGGATGGTGATGCCTCCGGAAGTTCCTTTATTGTACAGGGTTGTTTTGGCTCTCCTGGGTTTTTTGTTTTTCCAAATGAAATACTGTTCTTTCAAAGTCTGTGAAGAATTGTATTGGGATTTTGATGGGAATTGCATTGAATCTGTAGATTGCTTTTGGCAAGATTGCCATTTTTACTATATTGATGCTACCTATCCAAGAGCGTGGGAGATCTTTCCATTTTCTGGTATCTTCTTTAATTTCTTTCTTTAAAGACTTCAAGTTCTTACTATACAGGTCTTTCTTGTGTTTGGTTAGCATTACCCCAAGATATTTTATGTTGTTTGTTGCTGTTGTAAAGGGTGATGTTTCTCTGACTTCTTTCTCAGCACATTTATCATCTGTATATAGTAGGGCTACTGATTTTTTTTTTTAGTTTAACTTGTATCCTGCCACTTTGAAGATGGTGTTTATCAGCTGTAGGAGTTCCCTGGTAGAGTTTTTCCCTGTCAGTTATGTAAACTATCATATCATTTGCAAATAGTGAATGTTGCACTTCTTCCTTTTCAATTTGTATCCCCAGATCTCCTTTTTGTCTTATTGCTATAGCTAGAACTTTGAGTACAATATTGAAGAGATGTGGAGAGAGTGGGCAGCCTTGTCTTGTTCCTGATTTTAGAGGAATCACTTTGAGTTTCTCTCCATTTAGTTTGATATTGGCTGTTGGTTTGCTGTATATTGCTTTTATCATGTTTAGGTATGTTCATGTTATTCCTGATCTCTTCAAGCCCTTTTTATGAAGGGATGTTGGATTTTGCCAAAGACTTTTTCAGCATCTAGTGAGATGATCATGTAGTTTTTCTTTTTCAGTTTGTTTATATGGTGGATTACATTGATGGATTTTTGTATGTTGAACCATCCTTGCATCCCTGGGATGAAGCCTACTTGATCATAGTGGATGATTTCTCTGTTGTGTTCTTGGATTTGATTTGCCAGTATTTTGTTGAATATTTTTACATAGATGTTCATGAGGGATATTGGTTTGTAATTCTCTTTTTTAATTGTGTCTTTGTGTGGCTTGGGTACCAAAGTAATTGTAGCCTTGAAAAACAGAGTTTGGCAATGTTCCTTCTGCTGCTATTGTGTGGAACAATTTGAGGAGAATTGGTATTAGCTGTACTTTGAATTTCTGTTACACTTCTGCACTGAATCCATCTGGCCCTAGTCTTTTTTTGGTTGGGAAACTTTAGATGACTCTATTTCATTATGGTTTATAGGTCTGTTTGAACTGCTTATCTGTTCTTGAATTAATTTTGGTAAGTGATATCTATCCAGATAAGTATCTATTTCTGTTAGATTTTTGAATTTGGTAGAGTACAGGTTTTCAAAGTATGAGCTGATGTTTTTCTGGATTTCCTCAGTGTCCATTGTTATCTCCCCCTTTTTATTGGATTAAAGTCTCTTTATTCCAAGCACAGCCGGGTGAAACACAGGCCAGAGCTAGGTTAAGAACCCAGCCAGCGCAGCCAGAACAAAGAGAGCGCGCGGTTCCCGTGCCGCTCTTAAGAAGTCCCCTTTACGTCATCCCGGCTTTCCTTCACCCCGCCCTTATGGGCGAGTCCCCAGGTCCACCTGGTACCTGCCTCAGGACTATTGGGCGGGGCTAGGGTTACTCCCTACACCTTTTCATTTCTGATTTTGTTAATTAGCTTGCTCTCTCTCTCTGCATTTTAGTTATTTTGGATAGAGGTTTGTCTATCTTGTTGATTCTTCTAGAACCAACTCTTTGTTTCATTGAGTCTTTGTAATTTTTTCCTAGGTTTTTCTTTATTGATTTCAGCGCTCAGTTTATTTCCTATTTTCTACTCCTCAGGGGTGAGTTTGTTTCCTTTTTTTCTAGAGCTTTCAGTTGTGCTATCAATTCTCTAGTGTGACTATTCTCCAGTTTCTTCATGTGGGCACTTAGTTCTATAAACTTTCTTCTTAGCACTGTTTTCAAAGTGTCCCATAAGTTTGGGCATGTTGTGTCTTCATTCTCATTACATTCTAGGAAGTCTTTAATTTCTTTTTTTATTTCTTCCTTGATCCAGGAGTGGTACAGTTGCAGATTATTCGATTTCCATGAGTTTGTAGGGTTTCTGCAGTTTGTGTTGTTGCTGAATTCTAACTTTAAATTATGGTTGTCTGATAAGATATGAGGGTTATTCCGATTTTTTTGTATCTGTTTTGGTTTGTTGTGTTGTCTAGTATGTGGTTGATTTTAGAGAAGGTTCCATGTGGTGCTGAGAATAAGATATATTCTTTTGTGTTTGGATGGAATGTTCTATAGATGGGTGTTAATACCA